ATTACAAGCTTATGCTTAACCAAGACAAATGTTATATTAGATGTAGAAATATAAAATTACTTGGGGATATTATATGTAAAAACAACATAAAACCCAATCCAGAATGTCTGAATCCATTACTCAGCCAACCTGTCCCAAAAGATTTACATGCTCTGAGCCATGCATTAAGAATGTTTGTATGCTATGCACATTGGATTTCATCATTTTCAGACAGAATCCACCCTCTAAAAATCAGTATCAAACTTCTCGTTATCTTCAACAGCGAAGAAAGAGTTTAATGAGTTAAAATGGGGCATAGCAAAAGCAGCAATTTTTCTGTCCAATTATACACTACCTGTAGTAGTGGAGATGTCTAAGAATGCACCATAGCTGCCTCTATAAAACAGTTGGGGAGGCCTATGGCCTTTTCTCCAAAACTCAGACTAAATCGTAACATAGGCATTCTGCAAAAGAATAAGACTATGCTATTGTTGAATTGCTGAGAAAATGGAGGTATTATTTGATTGGGCAATATTTTTAACTAATTATAGACCAAAAATCAGTCTCATTCATATTGAACTCAAAAACAACAAGCAAAATTAAAAATGAGAAGATAGCCAGGTGGAGTATGGAACTCTTGTTTTACTCGTTTGATGTAATGTACCCCACCGGTAAAGAAAACACAGCTATGGACACCCTCACTCATGTATGTAGCTCAGCTGCTTGCAAAGAAGAGTTAAAGAAACTACATAGAAAGTTGTGCCACCTAGTTATTACATCATGGTCCACATGACGAAAATCAGAAACCTTCCCTACTCAGCAGAGCATGTGAAAGAAATCACCAAATTGTGTAAGACTTGTGTGTAAAATAAACCTAGGTTTTACTGTCCTAACACCAGCAAGGTCATAAAAGACAAGCAACCCTATGAAAGAATTGCATTGGATTTTAAAGGACTGCTTCTGTCAAAAACTTCTAACAAATATATGCTAATAACAATTAACAAATATTTGCAATTTCCTTTTGTAATACCCTGCCACAATGTAGCCTATACAATGGTCATACAAGCACTTTGCTCAGTTTTTGCTGTCTTCAGTCTATCTGTGTATATTCATTTGAACAGAGGGGCTTCATTTATGTCTGAATGCATAGGGTGGTTCCTACAAGAGCAAGGAGTAGCTGTAAGTAGAACAACCCCATATAACTCTATATAATGGGCAGTGTGAGAGGTATAATGGAATAATTTGGAAAACTGTTCAACTAGCAGCTGCTGATAAAGGGGTAGCTTTAGAGAATTGGGAAAAACTACTCCCAGAGGCCCTGCATGAAATGAGAATGTTGCTATGTGCCTCCACTAACACAACACCCCATGAATGATTCCTCCCATTTCCAAGAAGAAGTTTTGCTGGGGCGTGCCTACCATCTTGATTCTCAAAACCAGGAGTGATATTACTAAAAAGACACATGTGACTGAATTAGAACGAACCACTATTGCATCAAGTGGAACTTCTAGATGTCAACCCCCAGTATGCATGTGTCTGTTACCCTGATGGATGGAAAGACACAGTCTCACTAAGTGACATGGCACCAACAGAGGATGAATCAGGACCACAAGCCTAAGTGAGGGCTATCCTTGGGACATTTCAGCGGACTATGAAGAAACAGAAACATGGTCTCCTTATGAAGATTACAAGTAACCCTTGAGCTTTCCCTCAAGTGGTGATGAACAAGTTTCACAGAAGGGAGACCACTCACCTACCAATACTTCAGAGGATGAGCACGCCACTTGTAGAAGTTTACAAAAACACAGCAGGATTAAATTCAGTTCTAGCAAGAAAGAGGAAGAATCTCATCATGCTCTGGGAAATCCACCATGGCCTCACAGACAGCAAAGGATGCCTAGTTGATTCAGGGACTTCTTCCCTCTGTAAGAACAAAGCAGGGGAGAATGTGGTATAATCCATCTCCTCCATTAATGGATCTGTCCTGAACACGTATATTCAGAAGAACTTTCCTGATATGCAGAGCATATTAAACCTCTTTGAAATACACTGCTTGTCGATCTCTCTGCCTTCAGCAGGGAGAAACCCAGATAAGGTTATGCAAAGGGCAGACTCTCATCTGGGGAGGTAGATAGCTACCTGACCCTGTTTATATGGGGTTTACAGGGAATTTTTGCCCAAGCCTATGGGCTCAGAATGCTCCATGTTAAACTCTGTGGGAAGCTCAGGTAAATACTAACTATATTAAACCCCTGAGTTTGAGATACACTGCTTTTTGATCTATCTCCACAGAGACAGGAACTCAGATGAGGCTATGCTGAATGGCAGAGTTTCATCTGGGGAGGTAGACAGCAAACTGACCCTGAGTATTTGGGGTCTACGGGGAAGTTTTGCCTGAGACTAGGGGCTCAGAATGACCCATGTAAAATAACCAGCCTTGTGTCATGTCCTGCGTGTGGGGAACTCGGATAAATACCAAGTATATTAAAGCTCAAATGAGTCAGGTGATTCTCTGCCTGGCTCTGCTTGTTGACCTCTCCAACTTCAGACAGAGAGGAACCCACATGAGGCTATGCTGAAGAGCAGTCTCATCTGGGGAGTTAGACTGCTATTTGACCCCATATATATGGGTTCTGCAGGGAATTTTTTGCCTGAGCCTACAGGCTTGAAAAGACCATGTTAAGCTGGCTTTGGGCCACATCCTGCTGTGTGGGGAACTTGGGTAAATACCAAATATGTTAAAGTTTACTGAAAAGTGTATTGTCTAGAACAATGTTACTGGATATACAACTTTATTTTTTCATTCATTCTTGGTATTGTTGGAAATTAAAAGCTTTATTGTAATATTTATCATTGTACTAAATAGTAATATTGGGTCAACGACATCTCTGGCTTTATGAAGCATACCTTAAACAAATTAAATACAATTATTTTAACTCATGGGATAACATTTTACTGATCAAATTGGGAAAAATTATGGATTCGCTCAATGTTAAGGGAAAAAATTATCAACTCATCAACAAAAATAATCACAATTAGTACTTTGTAGTTTCTTTTCACACATTTTTTCAATATTCTCAATCAAGCAGGTTCCGTTCCAACTTTTTTCAGTAGTGATTGACAAATCAGTTGTATAAGTTGGAGTCTGGTTATGGACTATTTTCTAAAATATTCACCATAAATTTTCAATTGGATTGAGATCTCGACTGTTTGCTGGTTATTGGGATAATGTTTTTCTTGTAGAAAAACTTTAACCCTCTTTGCATTATGATCTTGGAAAATAACTTTATTATTAGCAAACTTATTTTCCATCAAAAGAATGAAAAAGGTGTTCAAAATTACAATGTTGACTTGTGTATTGACTGTTGTGTTAATGGTAAACATTTCCATGACATGTAATTTATATCATAAATGAATGGGTAAATTTATTTTTCTTCAGCCCTCATTATATGTGTCATTGGAACTAGACAAAATAACCAGAATCATTCATTAATGAGGTCAATGTACTTTCATCTAATCATCTAATCATCTGTTTGCATCAACTGTATGGCAACATAACTTTGTTTTCTTTTGTTTATGTGTGAGTGCAAGTTTTTTTTGGACTTTCTTTTTGTCACTCCTGTTTCATTCAGCTGATTTCTTACAGTTTTATCACAAAAATTGACTCCTGTTTCTACTAATTTATTTTTCATTTATTTTGTTGTACATTTTCCATTTTTAAAGCAAATTGCTTTGAGTTTTTGATCTTGACACATTGAGGTTTTCTATGGTTTACCTGTATATTTTTCTTTTAATAATGGATTTTCTTCTAGAAGGTGTTTTGTAATTCATTTCATTGTTTCAATTGAAAGCTCTCATGTTGGGGCCATATTTCTTTTCAATGAGCCCAAATCATTAAGGTTTGAATATTTGTTTTTAACTGTATATTAATTTGCACATATAGACTTGTAAACATTGTTTATGTGTGGTGATTTCATAATTTTTGCCATTAAAGCAAAAATTTAAAGTTTGAAATGATTTGACGTATTAATCTAGTATATTTTTATAGATGTAAAAATAATTAGCATAGTCACCTCTTTATTTGAATTTAGTTATATTAAATTCAATTGAAATAATAGTTCATGAAATCTGAATTCAACTTAATGTAAGTAGACAATCTGTGAATATCTTGTAGACATGAAATGAACCAAACATACACATATATTCTTTTTCATACATTTTGTACTCAGCAAAATGTGATTCATAAAGAAAAAATGTAATAAAACTTTGTATTAAATCTTGTAGAAATTAATAACAAATGAAGGAAACAAAAGGATAACATATTAAAAAGTATTCAAAATACTAGAGCCTAAAGTTCAAAACTCTAATTAAACTCAATCAACTACAAAGACAGTCTATCTAAATATGACAAGAGATATACATCAAATTCATTATTATCTTAACTGTTTTGTTTTTCCAATCATCTCTCTGATATGGCAAACTCTGTCAGATTTTATAATCACCTATAGTAATTATGGCATGAAATCAATGTAGTGGATTGGCTTATAACAAATGTACTGTTATCCTTTGAGTTTTAAGTGCATAACATTTTAAACAGTAATTTTCTAGTCATCAAACAATAAAATTCATTTATAAGCAGAGTTACATTAATGATGAGTTAAGCACAATAGCCCTGATTTCATACTCAACTAATCACCACACTTTATTCAAGCCAAATCAGAGAAGATCAGTTAATAAGTGATAAAAAATAAAAATTTCAAAGATCAAATGTACAGTCCAAATAAAGACACCTTACCCAATTTTTATACTTCTCCCTTAATTGGTCAATTAAAAAGAGACTTAGGAAAAAAAACAACAAACAAACAAACATAAAAGTTAAGGAAAAAAACAAATAGAAGACATTGATGGAAAATTGGGAATCTGAATAGTTTAAAACAGGTTAGAGGTGATGGCATCCAAGGGAATTTGTGAATTATGGGATACAACATAAAGATCACATCAGACTTTCAAGATTTTTGCACCTACCTTAAACCGTTGAGAAGAGATGAAGTACGTCTGAAACATTGTGGAAATATAGAAGCTTTATTGCCAAGTTGGTGTTAAAATCTCACAGAATCTAGTATTTACAAAAGCATTCCCATTCAGCTGTTTTTGAATGGAAACCTGATATGACTTTCTGAGAGTGATCATGAGAAAATGTAAAATATCAAATCATCATATTTAAATACCTTGAAATTTGTGGCTGATTTAGTGTCAGAAAGACATTTGCATAAGAGGAAAATATGTGGTGCAGTTTCAATTTGTGACAATTCTTGTATATGATGATGTTTCAAATCCTTAACAATTTTCTGTAGCCAACTATTCTTAGTCTGATAAAGCAAGAATTTCCTAAGTTTATAAGGAATATATACATTTTACTCATTTAGAATAATAAATTAAGAATTCATTTTGTTTTAATCAGATAAATAAAACTACCATTTCAATGTTGAATTTATCAAATTTCTTTGTATGAATACTGATTGTGGCAGACTTATGAAGGGTAAGTTTTGTATAATTATTTAAATTTTAACTACTTTGAAGTTTTGAACCAAGAAAAATGTTATTATTTGTTGATGTATAATCAGAGAATTAGAAGTTTGCCAATTTTTAGAAATTCTATAAAATAAGCAGAAAAACTACATTATTAATAAAGAAATAATAACAAATAAAAAGTAATACTATTAACTATTTTTTTTATAAAATTCGAATATGAATATCATAATAGTGGAATTTTTCAAATGTTTTCTCCATGATAATTTTTCTTTATTTTTTTCTCTTCTTTGATGTTGATAATAATATTAATTTTAAACTGATGTAAAAATGTAAACAATATAAAATGTTCCTTCTACTAAAGCAGAATAGTAACTGAAAGCACTTGATATCTGATTTCTTCATAATCATGTTACTGTAGTAACTCTAAAATAATCTTATAATATCTTATTTTACTAGAACTGAAACATACATGGATTAATAACATAAAACAGATAACAATCAATTTATTAAATGGAAGTAAAAAATGGTCTATTTTCTGATCTAAACAATTTATTCCAGAGAAAACCATAAAAGAAATAAAGCACAACTGAAAGGAATTTCCCAAATGGATAATTTCAAGAAAATTGCAACAAGAGTTTCATGAAAGTAATATCAGAATTCCTAAAAGGGGGCCTGTGTGTACATGAAAAATGGGTGCATATAAAATAATATTATCTTAAAAATAGCATCAAGAGAATATAGCTAGGAAAGATGCTTTAAAAAAACAGTAAAATTTTTTATAATCAAACAATTTTAAAAACTGATGTGATTTATGATAAAATCTACAGATATAAAACTGCAAAGAGAATTTTCTTGTTCTTAGCTTATAGTATTACACACACACACACACACACACACACACGCACACACATACATTAAATGATCTGCTCATTTTTAGGTAGGTAGCATGTCACACCCAATATTGTATTAAATGTCAAGCATTTTGAAAAACTACTTAGATGTATTAAAATGATTTCCTTTATTGGGCAAATTTTTGTTTTCCATAAATAATTCTTATTTTGATGCCCATAATCAGTAGTCAAGATTTGTAAGTCAAGAAAACCACTTTAGGCATGCTATCTAATCATATAAAAACCATTTTCAGTTGTAATGATGAAGAAAATTATAATGAAACTAGTTCTATAAAAAGATAAAAATTTCATTCAATTAGATAGAAGGCTTTGCAGTTTTCCTATTCAACTTTGTGAAATTTTACTAAGGCAAAATTGAAAAACTTGAATCACTTGAATCACATAACAGTAATTTAAATTATTCAATATTTTCAAAATTTGATTTTCTTCCAAAATTTGATTTTCTCCCAAAATTTGATTTTCTTCCAAAATAGTACATTTATTTTGGAATGGTATCTGATCATACATTCTAAAGAATAAATGAAATATAAAAACAAATTTAGAATGAAATTGTAAGGTTGTTAACAAGAGGATAATAATGTTTATCTTATTATTTACAACAATTTTTTCCATATACTAAAGAGAGGTTGATAATCTGTAAAAAACAAATCAATCATATACTAAATTTTTATTGAATGTTAAAAGAAAAACAAACAAAAAATGAACAAATCCATAAGAAATTAATGTTTTCAGTCTAATGAAAATCTTCTTCAATAGCAAAACATATTTATTTAATATGAAATGCAATACTGGAATATCCCTCTTTTATATAAGCAAATCAACTGCTTTCAAATCTATTCTAAAACAGATATTAAATATAAAATAGGAAAAGAAAAAATATCGAAACTATATCAAAAATATTTTTCAGTATGTTATGATTTGGCGACATGTAAGAATCATATGCAACAGAAATGTTTTTAATTTAAGGAAGTGTCTCAGCTTAAATTCTTAACCTATTTTTTATGAGTATTGACAGAATAAATTATTGTCTTTTAGGGTTGTAATGTTAGTATTTGGTCGCATTAAATTATTCATGTGCTAGTTTTTGATGTTTCATGAATTATTTCATGAGAAATGAAAGTGATCATAGGAATAAGTGGTTTTCTAAATTTGCTAGTTTATGGAGTAAATTCCAATATTCTGGTATTTTTAAAAAGGTTTTCTGCAGTTAGTATTTCTGCAGTTAGTATAATCCCAAGAAGGTAGAACTGAAAAATAGGTTGTAGATTAAAAGCAGTAAATTGATAAGCAAAATAGAGTTGATAAAACAAAAAAAAAAGGATCACTTCAAACACATACACAGTTAAGAACGTAAATTTAAACATACATGAAGAGATAAGAAGAAAAAAAATTCCACACCTTTCTTGCAGCTGTTTCCCAGGAATAAGTCCTGCTCGTAAGTTGCTGTCTCCTTCTTTGCGAGCCTGCCACCATAAAGGGTCCTCTTGGCTAACAATCTGGAGAACATCTCCTTTCTGGAAAGAAAGTCCTGCTTCTGGGCATGGGATTATGGGATCATCAAATGGGTCGTAGTCAAATAAAGCTCTAAGTCGAATCTGTGGGGTACGAAAGTAAGTCTGGAAATAACCATGGTAACAAGCAAGTGTAAGTGATGAGTGCACAGTGATTGGGAAAGTGAGGAAATAAGGGAGAATCAAGCCAAAAATAGAAGGATGAGTGAAAGAATAAGTGGCACTTGAAAGAAAATCAATTAGATTTTGCAAAATAGTCATGAAATGTTGACCACTGCCTGTAGTCTGTGATGGCTTTAACTATTCAATGAAATAAAATTTCAATTTTATTTCTTTAAATCATCTGCAAAACAAGTCCTATCAAATTCTGAAGTAAAATTGTAGTGACTAATTGTCACTGTAGTCAGATTTAGTCCTATTGAACATTTCCTGCACATCCTTATCTAGTCAGCCTTTTTCATTCTCTTGATAGAAATTAATGTATAAATGAAGATAAATTGCATCCTCTAAGCATATATTATTTTAAAGAGTTTCAAAAGAAGATGATAAAATGCATGTTATACCTGAATTTTTCCATCTTTGTATTCATTAAATTATTAATGACAGGAGGCATATTTTTACAGATTTTCTTTTAACACTGACAATTTCCTTCATTTACTCCTATTGGATGAAAGAAAGTAATCTTGAAAAAAAAAAACATATAAATTCCTGAGATTTGGCATTTGCAAAATCTGTGATAGACAAATGGTATAAATACAATTAAAGCTGATGTTTATGGACATATTTGTTTGCTTTTATTATTGAGTTAGTGTTATAAAAATATGATTTCCTTCATATTTTCTCAGTCCATTTATTACTTGTTTTCTATTCAAACTTTACATATTTCTGTTTCTGTGTATTCATCACAAGAATAGCAGACAAAAAAGTAAGATTTCTCTATCACAGTACTTATTTATAACAGATATCTTTTATCTCCAATATGTGCAGAAGAACATTTTCTTTAATCAAAACAATCATGATTGAAGAAAGAGTAGAAGGAAAATAATTATAAAAACAGTTAATTAAATGATAGCCAAGCTGTGCCTATGGAAAGACAAGCATAACAAAAAGAGCAAATAGAAAAGAAATAATCTCAGAATCTGATATATTTTAGAGCATCTTCACTAAAAACTAAAGGTAACACATGGATGAAAATAAAGAATCTTTTCTACTATCTTGAGTGAAACTGGAAGAAAGTACAAATATGAAATTAAAAGAATAAAATAATAGCACTCTATTAAAAGACAATATTTTTTATGATATAAAATTTCCATAAGACAATGTATAAAGAATGTCATGCATAAGTGCTAAAGTAGTTTTATGAAACACATCACAAATAAAAGACAAACTTGAGCTATTTCTAGAAAGAGTAGATTAACCAACCAGCTATCTTGGAAATGTTCAAATTCTTTCACACAGTAACTATTTTTATCTTTGACTTGTCGATATTTTTTGCTATATGAAGAGGTATAAACATGCAAAAATGTGTGACTTTAGCTTTAGTATGCAGGAAAAAGATTCACAGAATTTCAGTTGCTTCATTCAAAAACTTCATTTCTTTTTTTCACAGATGTTATGACATAAAAATCTTAAAAGCAAATTACATTTTGACGGAAGAGATTCAGGAAAATTTCATTGGAATTTATTAATTTATTGCAATCTTTGATGACATGAGATGGACATACAATGTTCATGAAAGCAATGCATAAGAAAACTAAATACTGGGAATAAAGTCAAATTCAACAGATGTTATCACATTTTTCCACAATATATGATAGCATACAGAGACAGCAGGGGCATCCAAATTAGATACACTCTGTTAACCATAACTATTAGGAATGAAAAGTGGAAAGGAAACTAGTATCTTAACTGGTAATGATTCTAATTTACAGCCAGCTCCATTTGCACATGTAAGCCTTGTACATTACAAATATGTCTTTTTTTGATGCGACAATATGAAATATATTTCATGTTGTTTCATCAAAAAAGACATATTTGTAATATACAAACCAACAAAAGACCAGCTTCAGCAATATCCTAAGCCAAGGAATTCCATTGTCTTTTACTCTTGTATCCCTTTTCTCAGCATCAATAATCCAGAGAACAGAAAAATACAATAGAAATTAAAAATTTCTTTCTTGCAACTGCGACAAAAGCTTTTTTAAATAACGAAAATCCTCTCAAAGCTCAAGAAACAGATCAATAATAGTGAAACAAGAGAGAAACTAACAAATTTCTACAGACTTTATGGAAGAAACCTAGAACAAAATCATCTCAACCTGTAAAGATACTGGAAAACTTAGAAACATTTACAATCTTTGAATCTTGCCATTAAAGCCATAAAATTATTGTTGAGGACCATAGCATGGGTCAAGAGAAGGGTTGTACAAGAAGTATAAAACTGTTGATACAAATAATGAATAAATAAGTGTTCTAAAATCAAGTTACATAGAGTACTTTCTGTACTACTTTTGTATTAATCTCAAATTATCACATTTTATTTCATGTAAAAAGGGGCTTGAAATATATAGTGTTTCTATATCAGTTTTGTGCTTGTGACTTGCCAAAATTTTTATTACCACAATTAATCTATTAGTGAATATACAAATTCAAGTTTATAGCCCACAAATTCTATTGTGTTTTGTGCTGGCTAGATCTTTGGATATATTTCTATGTGCTACAACAAAGGTAGTTGACAATTTCTTCCAGTTTTTTCATCTTAAGAATTTTGTCTCCATTGAGGAATTTTTATCCTAGTGGCGTGGAATGAGAAATGGGAGAGCTTAGTTGGGCTCATTACATTCACTAACATGTAAATATGCTTGGGAAAAGGTATGAATCCATTTTCTCCTCTCAGCCATGGGTTAAATAGTAGTACTTGTATCTGGAAAATCATTATTATTCTCAAAAAATATTCATTATTATTCTCAAAAAATTATTAACTCAAAAAACATTATTCTTAAAGTCCAAAATATGTTCCGGCTTTAAATAACCCACAAATGGTTGATAATCTGTAAAAAGCAAATGAATCAATTTTATTCTAGTGTGTTCCTTTCACTACAAAAAGAGTAAGAGCTGTCATATATATATATATATATATATATATATATATATATTATATATATAAAATCTTTTTTTACATGAAAATGTTTTCAGGATGTAGGCGATCATATCTCTCCACAACTTTAGTTGCTCTAAGTTGCTTTTGATGTTTTACCATCCCTTTTTGTTCCTATTCTGCCATCCATTCATGCAAACTTCTCTTGCTGTCAATATGTCCTGTGAGTGTTAAATACTCTAGGCCCACTTTCCTCAGTATGTGTCCCAGAAATTTAATCCATTGTATCATCCTACAACTACTTTTCCCACAGATGAAATGTTGTGTGTCTCTTGCTGTTCTATTGGTACTTCTATGGCATGTGTTCTGATGAGTTACATTCCTTAGTCCTACCACCCTAACCTGCCATACAACATACACAAGAATGAATCATCCCAATTTCCTTCTGATTCATATACTAATAAGTAAGTTTCATTTGGACATCTTCTTTCCAAGAACTGTTGCTTTGTGGATGTTTTCCCAATCATTACAATCTTGACCTCTTTAAGTCTAGAGATAGCCATTATCTTTCCTGCATAGCCCCATGAACTTCACTCCTTGCTCTTTATTACACTCATACAATACCACACAGTAACCCTCTACCTGTATTGGGTGAACATTAATATTAAAATAGTATGAGTTTCCTTGTAGTTATTATTTTTCTTAAGACATCTTCATTGCTCCCATGTTCTGTCCATGGTATTCTTAGCATTTCTTGGTATAACCCATATCTTTTCAAGTATCATCTTCATCTATGAGGAAATTATCTAGCATTCACTGTCCTTATAGTGGAAAATTAATATTTATATATGTTATCAAAACGTTTCATATATTTATATATGTCATTCAAACATGTCATATATGTTTTTTATATGTTAATAAGCACAAATAAAGAAACATAAAACTTAATTTTCAAAGCAATAGTTCAAATACAACAAATTTGACAGGCGAATTATGCAAAATAGGAAAAGACAAAATTATTTGTATAGTAGAAAATATTGTTTTAAATTGATTGATTTGTGTGAGTATAAGTAATTTACATAATCATTTTATCTGCGAAACTTTCTAGACTATTTATTGATTAGAATATTTGTGATAATTCCAGCAAAGAACATCATGTGGTACATAGTGTCACCATTGTTATTCTTACATTAACAATGTGATGGAGAAGACACAGAAGATTAGCGTTGACTTGAGTTAAAGAATTATTAACTTCCACAAGTTGGCAATAGTTACGGCATTATTTCAAATGGGTTAGCTATCTCTAGATAAAGTTTAAACAGTTTGGCATGACAGAATTTGCCTGGGCATCAAAGAAAACCCAAATTGTCACCGAGAACTGCATGAAAACTATGTTCAAAGGTTAATATAAAACCAAGAATTGTTTTGAAAGACATCAGCATAAGTATTCATACAATACATTGTTGTTTAAATAGAAATGAGTTGTATGGAAACTGACCATGACAAATCCATCTTCACAAACAATGTCACATTGTTGCCAAAATATTCTTGGACAAAGAAAACTGCTTTTGGGTACAAGTACTGTGGAGTGATGAAATAAAAATTGAGCTTTTTGAACATAGTGATGTACCGAAGATTTAGCGCAAGAAAGAAGAAATTTCCTCCCAAAGCAACATTAAAACATGGAGGTGGCTTGATGATGTTTTGGGGTTCTTTTAGCTCAAGGGGGACTGGAGAGTTAAGTGGAATAATGAAATCTGCAGACTATATCAAAATTCTGGATGAAAATCTACAACTATCAGCACAAAATCATTATCTAGGTTGGTGATTTACTTTTCAGCAAGATAATGATCCCAAATATACATCTAAATCATTGTCAGTGTTGCTTCAGAAAAAGAAGATTGCATTTCTACCATGGCCTTCAAGGAATCCTGACTTGAATCCTATTGAAAATTTATGGCTAGAATTGAAAGTTTGAATAAATTGTCGGTCACCTGTCAAATTTGTT